TTAGATGGTATAAAAAATCTCAATAAAAATTATTTTTTAAAAAAGGTGACAGATCCTACTGTAAAAATCGATTCTACAAACATCTAGTAAGCACTAACTATATGTAAGATGCTGAGAGAAACTGAGACTCAGAAAAGTAAAGTGACTTGTCTAAAATAAACACCTAGAAGGTACCAAAATCAGGTCTTGAATTTGATTCCTTTAACCCCAGTTCTCTCTTCACCATGCCAACTATAATTTTGCTGATGTTTTGTATTGTACTGTACTCATCAAAATAGATATGAAAGTCCTGATCCTTATTTAGGGTTTTTCTTTCTTTCAAAGCCTAATTTCAGTCTTAGCACCTCATCCCACAAGCCTTACCCAATCAGACTGCCTTCAATGACTGCAATTTCTGAATATATGTTGCTTTTATTGCTTATATGTGGCAGAAGCAAACATACCACTCATCTATCATTTTACTCTATGTTGTAATGAGGTATGTCATATGTTTACCCATATAACAAATTCTAAGAAGATATCTTAATGCCTAGTGTAAAGGTTTACTAAATGCTCAATAATGCTTCATGCATAAGGCACTATGGGAAATACAAAGGCATAGTCCCTGCCTTCAAGGAGTCTCTGACATAGTACGGGAAACAGGACACGTACATAAATAACTACAATACAAAGTATTGTAGGCTGTAAAAGTTGCTATAAAAGTTCAGTTGAGGAAGCAATCAATTCTAGTTTGGTTGATCAAGGAAAGCTTCCTGGAAAAGGCAACATCTAAGCTGAGCACTGAAACATTAAGTAGAATCTGGGGAAATAAGGTCTGGAAAAGGGAAAAGCATTCTAGATGGATAGAGTGGAATGAGCAAAGACAAAGATATGTAAAAAGGTAAAAGATATTGGAAGAAAGCAAATCATTTGGTCTGAGCATTGGGTCTTTGTTGGGGACTGGTACAGAAGAAAGCTAGAAAGGTAGATTGGAACTAGATTAAGGAGAGCCTTGAATGCCAGACTAAAGAACTGGAATTTTGAAACTTTCTCAATCAATTCACATCAGCACTTCCTTTTTAATATTCTTGGACAGGTTCTTAGGAAATTGAGAGGTTAAGGAGTCATATAGCCAGTAGGTGTCAGAAACAAGATTCGAACCCAGGTCTTCCTAACTCTGAGGCTAGCTCTTTATCTACTATGGCATACTATGCTTCTTAAGTTCCAGACTTATTCAAAAGGCAAAGAGAAATCACTGAAAATTTTTGAGCATGAAAGTGACAGAATCAGAGTTAATACTTTGGAAAGATTAGCATTAGAGTGAAAGATTAACTAGGAGTGTGAAGAGGTTAGAGGCAAAAAGACTTTTGGAAGCTATTACAGTATCACAAGTTTGAGGTGATAAGAGTTTGCAGTAGGAAGGTAGCAGCAGTGGGAATAAAAGGAAAGAGCAAGATGTAAAATACAACTTGAAAGAAAATGGAAACACCTGGAAACTAACTAGATGGGAATAGACAGCATGAAGGAAAGGGAGGAATGAAAAAGAAGACAAAACAAACAATTAGGTTACAAACATGGGTGCCTGGGGAAATGGTAGGACCATTAACAGAAACAGGCAAGTCAGAAGAAATTACTTGTTTCCTTTTGGGAAAGGAATTTGGAGAGATGTTTTTAACACCTTGAGTCTGATGTGTTTAATGGGACAAGTAGAAGAAAATGTCCAATGTGCAGTTAAAAATTCAGAGCTAGAGTTCAGGAAAGAGGCTAGATTAATTGGAGTTATCTGCATATAAATGATAACAAAATAAGATTGCCAAGGGAGAGAAGAAAGTGCCAAGGACAGAACATTAGGGAGCAACTACATTTGAGGAGCAAGGAGAAAGAAGAACCAGAAAAGACAGAGGAAATAGAATGATAAAAAATCAGAGTTCAGAGCCATGGAAGCCAAGTGCAGAGAGGTTTAATGATAGGTGGTGAAAGGATCATTTACAGCTAATGGGACCACAGATATCCTCTAGTCCAGCCCCTTAATTTTACAGAGGTCAGTGCTACAGGGGCCAAGGAGATCAAGTGTCCTTCAGAAAAGGCCACTGACAAAGAATTAGAAATTGAGGGGATGCCCATCAATTGAGGAACAGCTGAACAAATTGTGGTATTTGATTATGATGGAATATTGTTGTACTATAAGAAATGACGAGCAGGATGCTTTCAGAAAAATCCGGATTTACTGGAGCTAATGTAAAGTGAAATGTACTGTGTACAAAGTAACAGCAATATTGTAAGATGATCAGCTGTGAATGACTTAGCTATTCTTAGCAATACAACTATCCAAGATAACTCTGACTTTTAGTGAAAAATGTCCTCCATCCCCAGAGAAAGAACTGATGATGTCTGAATACAGATTGAAGCGTATTTTTTTTGGAACTCAAATTTTTAAAAATGAATGTTAAAAATTGTTTTGACATGTAACTGAGGAAAAATAAAAATTAAAAAAAATTTAAAAGGCCACTGAATTTGGCCATTGGTGAGTTTCAGCAGATTTGTGGGGACAGAAGTCAAACTGAAGAGGGTTAAGGAAGGTAGGGTAAGAAATGGAGGAAGCAAGTATAGACTGTTCTTGGGAGAAGTGTGGGGCAAAAAGAATAATTGTAATTATACAGTCACTCTATGATGATCCTTTGCTCTGTGGTCCCTAAATTCTATTATTTTTTTCTCTAGCGTTTCCAACCCTTATTGTTTCCATTAATAGTGAATATTAGCAGAGAAACAATAGGGCATTTTAAAAAATGGATTAAAATATTTTGTTTTGATACAATAGACACCCAACCCCATCCCCATTGATTGGTTGTTAACAGAATGGAGGGATGTGCTCTTTCACTTTGACTGTTTGATACTAATATTGACATATTTGGCCAGATTTTTCTTTCATCTCAATGTTAACTTTTTGCATTGTTGTAACCATTGTGCACATACATTGTTCCTTTGGCTCTGCTTTTTTCCCTAGACATCACTTTGTACTAGTCTTCTCTTGTTTCTCTGAATTCGTATTTTTTGATCCAATGGCATCATAACATTCAATCACATTCATACGCCATCATTTTATTCAGTCATTCCCAAAATGTCAGGTACATATTTCACTTCTGGTTTTTTGTTATTACAAATCATGCTGCTTTAAATACAAGGGGCTTATGACCTCCTGGGGTTATTGTCCTTGTAGTTGACTCTTTGGAGTCAACATAGATGAACATTTCAGTAATTTATTTTTTGCATTATATCAATTGTTTTCCAGAATAATTAAACCAATTCAAAGTACCCTTCAGCAGTGAATTACCATAGGAATAAAGTTCATGTTCTTAGTAAATATTCCACATCTGGTCAATGGTATGATTTAGACAAACCACTGCAATGATAGGGGCCTTTAGTGATGTCTCAGAGACCAGATGTAAGGAAGCTATTTCATCTTGCTTCCTAAGCCTTTTGGAAATCTGAATGTGACTTCCCTAAATCCCAGTTTGCCAGACTGTCCTAGTCTGAAGCAAAAGGATTTAGATATGAATTTCTGTCCATCTAAGTAAAGATAACTTGATCAGACCTTCCTTTATAACTTGTTTGTTTCCACTCGTATCTTCAAATATCCAACTACCCCACTCACCCAAGAGTACAAATGCTACTTTTCGACCATTATTATTCTTCCCTCCTCCACAACTCTATTCACAATTTACTTTCTCCATAAAGCCTTCCCTAAATCTATAAAACTAAGATCATTACAGTAGTGCCTCATTCTCTCAGGATTTATGTATAAAATCTGACTATTCACTTTTGCACTTTCCATGTTTCTAAGTATCCTTGGATTTTTTTGAGATTGTCTTTTCTGTCTTCCAGTGATAGAATATAAACTCCATGAAGGTAAAAATTCTCTTTTATTTCTTTTATTTTAACTTCACAACATCCATGTGTAATGAGCGCTTGATTGATAAATGTTGACTGTCACAGTACCTAGCTAAAACACCTATTTTTGAGAGTTTCCATTTCCAGACTCTGGTTTCTAACCTTCCAGGTAATATAGTAACATTTTGCCTTTAATTCTCAGCACATCATATCTGTGGTCTTGATTAAAAACCTTCCAGCTACATTTCCTTCCCACAGCTATTATAAGGAGCTAGCCAATACTTGACCTTATCTAGGTAGTAATTTGGGTTAGATGTATTCTTCTGAATAAGAGTGCTCTTTACTGCTCCTATTCTGGTTTTCTGGCTCCCAAAAAACAGAGTCCATTTCCCCTAAGATACCTGTTCTTTGCTATTCTGGCTCAGTTCTTGAGGTTAGTCTTATCCCATACCTATTGCTCTGGCTTTACAGATAGGATCAGCAGTATACCCCATTTACATCACATAGGTTAAAGTTAGAGAAAGGCCAGTAGCTTCTCCTTTTCCAGTAATTGGGTAGTACTAGTTGACAGAATTTTTTTTTAAGAAATGGTTGTACTAACCATCATAGAATGGCTTACCTCACAATCCTCAGAGATGGGTAGGGAGTTCCATACTCATTTCAATTGCTTAGCTTCCTAAAAGCAAACAATTTACTTTTACTGCTAGTTATACAATCTTTGGAATAAAGTACTTTAAGATTTCATATAGAAATGCTAATTCTTCCTCCTTCCTATCTCTCTCCACACTTGTCAGAACATCTTCCTTATCAACATAGGACAAGTAGCCTTTTCAAAAGCTTTCAACTTTTTTTTTTTAATTGTTCTAAACCTGTGATTTTATCGGTATAAGGAGCTCTCCAGGAGGAAATTCAGTCTGCCAATACAGGTGGTAAGCAACTATTCTGCAATTGTTAGTCTTCTAAGAGCAGTCGGGGACACTGAAAGATTGACTGACCTGGACACCCACATAACAAGTATGTGTCAAAGTTGGGACCTAGGTAATACCAATTCAAAAGCCAGCTAGCTCTTTATTCACTATGCTGGGCTGCCTCTTTTCCATCTCAGCCCAAAAGGAATTACTAATAGCCCAGGAAACCATATCATCATTTTATTTATGGAACAATTGTACAAAAGGCAGGACTGGTTTTCTTAAGAGGCCACAAGATGTGCAAATCTGTTTCTAGTGAGGAATTGGAGGAGGCTAGGTTATTGCAAACACAGGACAGAAACTAGGAGAATGCCTAGTCCACCAGAGTTATTACTCTATGAGTGGTGTCTCTTCATTTCCCCTTTTGAGAGTGAGAAGGCACTACTTGTATAAGAGAAACAGGACAGGAACAATGTGTGCTCTTGAGGCAGAGGGATCCAGGTCCTTGGTTTCTGCAAAACTCAATGGTAAGACTTATTAAACTCCTGAAGAGCCCAGCGCTTGTTCTCAGTTGCCTGCTTCAAATGGGTATACTCCTTCACCAGCTTGTCAAACTCCTCACCCAGCACCTCATAAGTGCTCAAGATCTGGCGTGATTTCTCCATGTCTTGCTCCTGTAGGCGAATGGCCCCCTCCAGACTATCCCTAAGATAAGAAAGGAAAGGAAAAATGGAAGTGATGTGGCAACAGAAAAGAGACACCAAATGGAAAAGGAAGATGAGTCTAGAACATGATGGCATGCCAAATTCTTATCACTCACCTAATGAGGCGATGAACCTCTACCTTCTCAGCTGTGTAAGTGTCTGACAAAATCTGTAGCTCCTCCATTCTAATGAAAAGAAAGTTACCAAGAAGATCAAAATCAATGACAGCAGCCAATCTAGGGACAGGACAGACAACCCAAATAGCTCAACTGCCCAGTATCAGTGTGTGAACTGAGCAGATATGGCATATACAGCTTTACTCTGCACTTCCTGGTAAAGTACCCATTTTGGAAAAGATTCACAAGTAAAAACTTAAATAGAGTGAATTCTTTGGGCAGTAAAAAGGCTAATAATGCTATGCAACAATTGTTGAAGGCTTACCACATTGCTAGGCACAGCAGAGGGCAAAGGGAAAAAAGAAAAAAGCTCATGTGGAATTAGAATCCTTTAGGACGCCCCCCACCCTACAGCCTTATCCATCTAAGGTTTACCTTAGCTTCAGAATCATGGCACTACACTTGATCTCCAAGTACTGGGCATTAATCTGATCCAGCTCCGATTGTGTTTTTAGTCGGTGTTCCTGAAGAAGCCTCTGCAGCAGTGAAAGACAGCGGAGGAGCACCTGAGGCACCAAGGAGATAAAATAAATGATTGCTTAAGTTAGTGAAAAATGAAATGCAAAATGAAATGTTCTCCTGAAGCTTCACCTTAAGGCCATGGTCATGCTGGGGTTAGAAATAAGGAAGAGACTCTCAAGCTGTTGTTACAGGAGACAGACAGACAGAGAAACAGACACAGACACACAGACACACACACACAGATACACACACACACACACACCGCTCCCTACCTGAGAATAGATGGAGCTCTGCTTTTCCAGTAGCACTGTCTGTTCCTTCTGCTTTTTCTTAGCATTCTGGTTCTCCTGCTTCTCACTTGTCAGTACATCTGCCAGCTGCCATACCTTTGCTGCTTTCAGTGTTTCACTATCAGAATCTGCGGGGAGGAGAAAAGAACAAAGTCAGAGAAAGAAGACTCTAAGAGTGCATTCTCCTATTCTTCCTGTCCCTCCAAGGCCATTTTTGGTGTCAGGGTTTCAAGCACCGCATGATGGGGCCTCTTCTCCTGTCCTAGAGATAACTCCACAAGCTCTTCCTTCCAGGTTATTTCCCACTCTGATTACAAAGGTTCCCTTTCCTTCATCTTTAACCCAAGATTCTGTGTTTGTGGCCTCCATCAGCAATAAAATGCTCCTGAAAACAAAGGTAAGCGGAGAGGCAACTAGGTGGCGCAGTGGATAGAGCACTGGCCCTGAAGTCAGAAAGGACCTGAGTTCAAACCTGGCCTCAGACCAAACACTTGACACTTATTAGCTGTGTGATCCTGGGCAAGTCACTTAACCCCAATTGCCTAAAAAACAAAAGAAAAAAATGTAAAAAAACAAAGGTAAGGGGGACTCTTTTGATTTTGACCTTGTCTTTCCAATAACACCCACGCTGCAAAAGAAGAACGAATGCTTCCTGCTCTGTACCTAACCGGACAAAGGGAAAACAGGAAGAATCTTATACTCTTTTTTCCAGTAAATAAAGGGGAGAAACAGGTAAAACAAGCACCTATTATTTCCAAAACTTTCTAACTTTTGCCCCTGATTTCAGAAGAGGAACATGCCAACTTCTTCCAAAGGATGGTGATGGGACACCAGAGGGGCCCCATGATGAGGAGGAAGCACAGAGCAAGAGCTCACCTGAATTGGGATCATGGTAGCAAAGCAAAGTGAAACACTTTTTCTTCAGTTTTTCCTCAATTTTTGGCTGGAGACACTCCCTCATTCTCATAAAATCCTACCGATTCAGAAACAAAGAGACATGAATATAATATCAAAACCATTGAGATTGACACAAAATAAGGTAGAGAAAGGGAGTCTTATTCAGCTCTCAACTCCAGCCTCACCCCGCCTGACCTCTGAAGGGGGCATCAGTTCTAGCAAGTCTGACTTCTCCAGGCCCAGCAAAGGTGGCATCTCTTTCTTTTGGCTCGGATCTAAAAGTCGAGTCAGTTCAGTCACTAGTAACCTCTGTTCAAGGGATTCATGAAACTAAAAAGAAATAGAAATTTTCCTCATTCATCCTCAGAAACCAGTTCTCCATTCCTTTTTCTAGCCTGGGAACACTTTACCCACTTCAGACAATCCCCATGGCTCCTCTTAAACCTTTCTTTTCAAGTTTTTGAGACCTCCCACCTTCCCCCCAAAATTTCATATTCCATTTCTCTTCCCTGATTAACCTAGCTACCCACCTTTCCCCCTCACCTCATCAGATAAAACCTGACTTGGCTGGATCACACATTTCTGGCAAGTAACTCCTTAGGGCTAACCTTACCTCATTCTCAATTCAGACAATACCTTCTTATCCTCTGGGGTCAGATTTGTATCCTGTGTCTTCACGTAGTAGTCCACAAGCATTTCCTGTATAAGTCTCTGCAGAATTTCTGACCTCAGCCACGCTGTCTTTTGCAGCCGGACCTCCTTCCATGCCTGAAAGAAGAGATGATGCTAGCATGGAGTACTAGGATGGCTATTGTGGCATTTCTTCCTTTCTTTTGTGAAGAAATCCCTTTTCCATCCCTTCTCCCTCAGCCCTTACCTCAGCTTGCTCTTCTGCAAGGGTGGTGCTTAAACCACTCTCATCCATGTATTGAGAGAGACTTAGCAGGAGCTTGCTAAAATGAGGGTTCTGCAAGAGGTCTTCTTCAGTCAGGTTACAAGGTGGCAACCGTTTGTTGCATACTTAATGGTACATCCAACCCAGGGAAGATAAGTAAAATAGGCATCATTGGTTAAGTTAAGACTTTGCCTTCTGCAGCCCGGCATCATGCTAACTTGATTCAACACAGAGATATTTCAGAAATCCTCATCTTTTTTTTTGTTGTTGTTAAAGGGGGTGTGGAATGGGAACAAGGTTTAAAATTCTACCAGAATGATATTAACTAATACTTGAGGTAATACTCCTAGGATGGTGCCAAGATACTAAAAGTGATTTATGTTAAAAGAGATTGAAAAGAAAGCTATAAAAGAGGATACTTAGGATTACAAGATGAATCATCAAAGGAAGAAAGTTAAAAGACCTTACAAAATGGAAATGAAATTGAGAATTACACAAAGTATTGAAAATAAGGTAATATTCAAAAGTATCCCAAAATTCTTCTTCACTCAGGATTAAATGATGTTCTTGGAGTATTTTAAAAGACAATTTTTATTGTATTTACAACTAAAGATGAAAGATAAATTGTTGTCCTACTTTTAATTAAAATAACGAAAGAAGTTTAGTCACTAAATCCCCACTCTCATGAACACATTTAAGCAGTTCATATTGATGCTGTAGAACTGTGGTCCTTCTATACTATGTCTGTATCATGCAATCATATGCAACAGAAGATACTGAGATTCTAATTCCCTGGGTGTTCAATGCATAAGATACCCATACACACAAGAAATACATATCTGCACTGTGCTGGAATTTCTTGTTTCACTCCTATTTAGCTAATACTTCTACTAAGATTCCCTGCATGGCAATGTCCAGAATCAACTCGTGGAAAAGTGAGTAGCTCAGGACAAGCTCTACACCTAATTCTTAGGTAGCTGCCCAAAGACAGCTGCAACTAGTCCTCCTAGGAGTATCCTTTAACCCTCATGAATTCTAGTTTCCCCCAAATTACTATAGGCACTGAGATACTTTTGTTATGGATGCCATAGTGATAGATAATGACAGTTCTTATGAGCATGGAAATCCAGAAGCTAGAAAAGTACACACTGAATAATCATAACCCTTTGCAATGGTTAGCTTTACCTTGCTGGAGTAATTCCATACCCTCTCCAGGCAAGCAGAAATCTCCTGATGCCATCTCTTCCGTGGGACTTCTACCTGTTAAAGCAACAGAAAGCAAAGGATGAAATGAGGAGCACCTCAGTACCTTCATCCCATAAGCTTGTGCTGAAGGCCAAGAATGGCCCTTAAAGGAAGGGAATACCTCATGCATCCTGGGGACCAAGCTCTTAGATAATTTTCTCTATATGCTGACTAGCAAGCCACAAAACACTTTCCACACTGAGTCCTTTAATTTTTCCACTTAATTCTCACTGCCTGGGGAAAAAAAATTCTCCTTGAAGGAAATTTTCCACATTATCATTAAAGTCTGAATAAGCAGGGGTTTTTCCCCCCATTGGGTCTAAGTTAAAACTGAATTTCCCCTTCCCAGTTATGAGTGAAATGGGAAAAGAAAAAAAAAGAACCATCAAAATCTGCTTCTTTTTCCAGTCAAATAACTCAGCTAAATTTCAAATTCCAAAACAGTCTTTTTCTGCTTCTCTAGCCATTCCTTTCATCCTGAGATCTGTAGGTACCTTCTGATCATTAACTCCAGAGTTGTCCTCTGGAGTGACAAAAAATAACAACTGTTTTTCACATAACAGCATTAGTAAAGAGTACCTGGAGGAAAGAGCAAGACAAGAAGACTGGCAGTGGGGTCAGTGCACCTACAGTAACAAAAAGGTATAGTTAATGCTGCTCAGACATGAGCTGTCAGCACTTTGACAGAAACTCAAGTGCAAGGCTAACAATTACGCCAACACCAGACACAGTTAAGATGGGCACAGCCAGAACTCGTAAGACTTGGGATTTTTTTCTTGCCAGTTATTTTCCATTCCTTTGATCTCTCCTCTTCCTTTTGTTAAAAAAAATTAAATGCATTTAGGGCCTCACCAACACTCAGTGACAGTTGAACCTTCCAAAGGTTATTATGATTTAGTACTACTTGATGTTCACAAAGAGTTTAGTTCACTTGGTATTTATTAGTTATATAAAAATTGCTATTCATTTATTTTGTAACATAGCCTAGAAGACCTAGATGAAGAGTAGAGACGCTAGGATTTAATTTGCAGCTTCACCGTTCACTCTGTATGTAAACTGAAGAGAAACGCTAATCTGCTCCATAATTTTTCTACCTAGGATAATTATTCTTTAAGTTAAATATTCATAAAGCCCTTTAGATAAAAGCCACAATATTAATAACTGATTTGCAAACGGTAATTTTTCTTGTTAATGTAATGGTTAATACTACACTACTCCAAGGACTGAGATTTTGAAAACTCCTTTAAAAAACGTTTTTTTCTTTCAGTGACTAACTTTTTGCTTATGAGTATATCCAAACTTTGCTAGACTGACCCAGACACAAACAATTCACCGTCAAGTCCAGGCTCCAGGCCTTTACGGATTGACCTGGGAAGCCTACAAGAACCCAGGGGGACCTACAGGCCCAGAAGAGGCTTCCATTCAGGCAGCCCTTCAGTGGAGGGCTTTTAATACTGAATGCCAAAAAGCCATCTATCTGTATGGGCTAGGTCAACATCGACCTCTGAAATAGGCACTAACCCAAACGCTCCTTCTTAGCCTAGTCCAATAGACTTGACTCAAGCTCTTGGTGTCTGGGGTGGGGAGGGTATTTTTCTTTACCAGGCTGAGCTCTGCAAATACTATGGGGAGTGGTTAATGGTGCCTTCGATCGCAGCTAAAGACCGTGCACCTGCAGAACACAGACAAGTTAAACGCTGTTACAGGGACCGAGGCGTTTGTTTAAACGTTCTGACTCAGGCGTCTTTCAAATTCTCAGCGCTGCCTTTGCACGCTGCACTGAACGTCAAATGGATTTTACAGCCATTTCACAAGAGATGACCCTTACAAGGCCCCCGGATGAATCAAAATGCGCAATGAGCATCCAGTCTCCACCTCGCTTCTGCTCAGACGGAAAGACTAGTGATACGCCTGGATTCACACCGGCGGCCACAGCGGGTGACGGATCCCGCCCGGGGCGCGCGCGGAGCCCGGGCGTGTGGCGGCGCAGTGCGCGCGCAACTCCCCGCGGAGTCTAGCGGTAGGGGCGGGGCGAGAGGGAGCCGCTGTGCGCGCGCAGCTCGCAAGCTGGCTGGAAGCACAGGCTCGCGGACACTCTGCTCGGGGACGCGCGGAGCCCAGCGCGCGACCGGCAACGCCGGAGGGTATGGCGTGCGCAAGGCGGAGGGAAAACTGTTCCGTTCCGCGCCCGCTCCCCTAAGATTCCCCACCCCCATCCACCGCTTCCTCGGGGAATCCAGCCTCCCGCTTGGAGGCAGGAGGATGACTGGATTGACCTCTCGCTAGAGGCCTGCGATCGTCTCGCAGACCACTCCTCCCTCCCTCAAATGCTTCCAAACACACCTCAGAAGCAAAATCCTGTGGCCGCGCCGCTGAGGCGATGAATGGGATCGGTTCTGGGAGGCGGCGGCTCCCCGAAGGCCCTCCCAATCCCTCCCGGGTCCCCCTGTGCCGGACGAGAACTGTCCTCCTGGACCCCGTGTAGGGGTGGTAAAGTGGAACAAGGGAAAGCCTCCCTGTCCTCCACGCCCCGGCAACCAAGCAGGGCCCCAAGAAGGCCCTCGCAGCGCTAGAGGAAGCGCGGAAAATCCCACCGCCCCCCCTGCAGGCTCCGCCCCCTGGGCCCCGGCCACGCCCACTTCCAGGCGCTCTCACAGCCGAGGTCTAGGAGAGAGCTGCGGGGAAGCTTTAATGATTGCCTTGTCTGACTCTGATCTTTGGTGATGAGTAGGCTTTAAGGCAGACGATTCTTCTTACAAAGCAGAAAGTCGAGGTCCCTGACTAGGGGAAGCAAGCGTTGACTTTAGAGTCAGACCGAATCTGATATTTGCGAAACCAGTGTAAGGTCTTGGGAAAATCATTTTGAGTCAAGAATGGAACTCTTGAACTAGAACTCTTCCACCTCTGTAATAGTTCACTAGCTAATTAGTTTGCTACAGAAATTCTCCCAGCTATTTAAAGTCCTCAGAGGTATGATTGGCATGTTTGATTAGTCTAATCAGCCTTCCTTGACCCAAAGAGGTTCACACTTCATAAAAGAGATCTTAGAGTATATAGACCATCTTATTTATATTTAAAACTTCATCATGCCCTCACACAAATTAAGGTGGGAATCATGTGGAACCTTTTCTCTCGTACAAGTATCATTTAAGTCCACAATGAAACACTTAGTCAAAAAACATTTATTATTAAGGACCTACTGTGTCTTCAGTCCTAGCACTAGCCAAGTGCTAGGCACACACAAAAACAAAAAAAGACAGTTCCTGCTCTCAAAAAAACTCACATTCTAATAGGGGAGACAAAGCAGCCACTAAATTACAAAGAGTTGTAGAAAATCAAAAGCAAAATAAAGAATAAATAAATTGTTGCTGTGAAACAGCCTAATTAATCCTCAGAAAACTGGAAAAGACCTTTAAAGAGACCTGATAACTGGGGAGTAGTTGCTATTGATTGCTCTACAATGCAGCATAGGCTTCTTGAAGTAGTTAACCATTGTTATTAAGAAAATAAATGCTTCTCATGTATACAGACACTTCTTACTCCTGGGGGGAGTGGCAGAACCCCATTCAAGCTCTGGGCTTTGCCTCTAGCTTTGAGCAGGCAGGCAGGGTCCTCCACTCCAGGCACTGAACGTGCTTTGGCTTCAGCCACAGAGCTGCAGAGGGGGCGGGGCCACTGGGAGTCACTCAAGAGAAGAAGGAGGTCTTCAGAGGGTCTTTTTACCTTACAGTGAGAACTGTACAATACAATATAAAGACCACTGTACCAAAGATTGGAAAAGGTAATTTTTGCTGATGAAATCCACTTTTTCATTGACCGAACCCACCAGAAAAAAATCCAAGTGAGCCTATACGTTTTGGGCATTTTCATCAGACTGTGAACCATCAACCCAAAAATATTTGGGGGATATTTTTTTTGCTTCCACTGCTGCTGTAAGTCTTGTCTTCACTGAGGGAATGATGAACTCTGAAAAATATGTTGATATAGAAGTAGCTGGGTAGCACAGTGGATAGAGTACTGGACTTGGAATAAGAAAGACCTGAATTCAAATCCTTCCTTATTCAAATTCCCTGGAGAAGTCACTCTCTCACAGCCTCAATTTCCTCATCTGTAAAATGGGAATAATAGTAACACCTACTTCACAGGATTGTTGTGAGAATCTACTGGGATAATATATAAAGCACTACTTTATAAGCCTTAAAGCATTATATAAATGCTAGCTATCATTACTGAAAAGATGAGTTGTTCTGGAATTGATAGAAATCCTCAAATGTACATGGCATACTGAAATGTAGTCTTATACCTTGCCATACGTGATGAAAGGTTAAGAAATTTAAGAGATAAAGAAAAAACATGCTTCTGAAATCTGCCTAACTTAAACCCCATTGAAAACATGTGACCTATGATGAAAGCTAGATTTGGAGACTATCAAAGTTATATTTAATATCCAATGTGATAAAAGTTATATTTAATATCCTATGTGATAAAAGCTTTCATGATGAGTAAAAGGATATCTCTATCTCTTAAATTAGTGAAAAATTGAGGTCATTCACCAAGAACTCTTTCTTCTCCCCTCCTCATCTTACATCACCTAGATGCCTTCTGCTACTCTCTCCCCCTTCAGTCCTATCTTATGGGAAGAGGTAGCCACCTAATATCCCAACTTTCTCACTCATCTTCAATATCTCCCTATTTACCATCTGCTTCCCTACTGCCTACAAAAATGTCCATGTCACCTCCAACCTCAAAAAAACCTCTCATTTGATTTGTTCATCCCTGCTAGTTATAATCCCATATCCTTCCTTTTGTGGTTAAACTCCTTGACAAGGCCATCTACAATTGGTGTGCCACTTCCTTTCCTCTCACTCTCTTCTTAACCCTACAGTTCAGTTTCCAACTTCATTCAGCTGAACCTGCTCCCTCCAAAGTTAATTGCCTTTTCAAAATCCTCATCCTTTTTGACTTTGATGTAGCCTTTGACACAATCATCTTCTTCTTCTTGATGCTAAATTCTGTCTAGGTTTCCTTGACACTATTCTGCTTTCCCTCCTACCTGTCTGACTTCCCTATCAGTCTCTTTTGCTGGATCTTCCAGTCATGCCTGGTAATGGTCAGTGTCCCCCAGGCATCTATCTTGAGCCTTCTTCTATACTGTTTCACTTGGTAGACAGTTCCCATCATTTAATTATCATCACTTTGCTGATAACTCTCAGATCTATTTATCCAGCCCCAACTTCACTACTAACCTCCAGACCCACATATCAGACTGGTTGTCCCATAGACATCTAAAACTCCAGAGCAGAACTTATTGTCTTTCTCCCAAGATCCTGCCCCTCCTTTCTAAATTCCCTATTATTGTTACCCAGACTCCCAACCTTGGTGTCATCCTCAACTCCTCATTCTCACCTGGTCATAATCCAATCTGTTGCCATGTGTTGTGAATTTATTTTCCTAACACCTCTCATATGTGTCCCCTTCTCTCTGAAATTGCCACTACCCTGGGGCAGTCCCGTACCCCTTCACATCTAGACTATTTCAAAAGCCTGATGGTTCCTCTCCCTCACTCAAGTCTCTCTCTACTCTAATCTACCCTGTACTTCATTGTCAAATTAATCTTCCTAAAGCACAAGACTGACTTTGTCATCTCTCCAATCAACAAATTCCACAGGCTCCCTATCCCCTTCAGGATCAACTATAAAATTCTCTCTTTGGTATTCAAAGCACTTCACAACCTGACCCCTCTTGCTTTCCAGTCTTCTCACAATTTACCCCTGCATAATCTACATCTAGTGACACTTGCTTCTTTGCTGTTCTTCACAAAAGACATTCCATCTCCTGACTCTGGGCACTTTCACCAGCTCTCTCTGAAGCCTGGAATTCTCTCCTTCTTCATCTCCACCTCCTGGCTTCCCTGGATTCCAAGCCTCCTTCAAGTTGCAGATTCAATCCCACTTTCTACAAAAGTCTTTCCTCATTCCCTTAATCCTAGTGCCTTCCCTCTTTTGATTATCTCCAATTTATCCTGAAAAATCTTATTTTTACGTAGTTGTTTTCATGTTGTCTTCCTCGTTAGACTGTAAGCTCCTTGAGAGCAGGGCCTGTCTTTTGCCTTTCTTTGTATTCTCAGCCCTTAGCACAATGTCTGGCATATAGGAGGTGCTTAATAGATACTTATTGACTGAAACAATTGTCCATATCTATCTATCTCTGTGTGTTTGTGAGCATATGTGTGTGTGTGCGTGTGTGTGTGTGTGTGTGTGTGTGTGTGTGTGTGTGTGTGTGTG